TGTCGCGATGGCCTCCACCCTACTAGTGGTGACCTCAAACCTTGCGTTTCGAGTTTTGGGTCTTGCAGTTTTGAGTCTTGTGAACCACGATGTTCTCCAACCCAGTAGCGAGGCCCTCCAACCTTGTTGCGATGGCCTCCAACCTACTAGCGGTGGCCTCTAACCCACTTTTCCCTGGACTTCTTAGGCTTTCTTACGTAGGTAGGCGTGTGACATAAGGCAGTCGGCTCCATACGCAATATCCCGAGAGCGCGCGTTTGTGTGTGTGTGTGTGTGTTGAAGAGCGTTGTGGCCTGGACAGAAGACGCAGCTTGGCCAACAAGCTGGCCAGGCGAAGCCCCTATAACCCTGCGCTGTAGCAAGCAAGTCAGCTGTGAAAGAGGGTGAGCCAACAAGCTGGCCGGGAGTAAGTGTAGAGTTTCAGCTTAAGAGTAGCTTTTGCCAACAGGCTAGCTGAGAGTCGGCAGCATGTCAAGGAAGTGTGTGCACCCTGGCTAGCAAGGCTTGGCAGGCTTGGCCAGAGATTGTAACGCAACTTCTGAAACATGGCTTTGGTGGCTGGCTGGAAGTGGCTGGAAGCATTGGTGGCCAGCTGAAGACTATAAAGTTAGGAAACCTTCGGGCCAACAAGCTGGCCGTGGTAGATGGGAACCCTGAAAGCTTGTCGGGCGATACATGCTGCTGCTCCGCGGCCCAAGACGTGTGCTCATGGATGTACCCCTGGCCGCTTGGCTGTTTGGCCGGTGGCCGGTGACTGACGCTGACCAGTTGACCGCTGGACGCTTGGCCGGTTGGCCGGTGACCGGTGGCTGGTGGGCGCTGGCCGACGGCCGCTGGCCACTGGTCGCGCCGGTGGCATGGCCAGCGCCTAAACAAGACTACAGTGACTGCCGAGAACCGCCAGTCTGGCCGCCCTACGACGGCTTCACCAATCAGTCCAAAGCCGATGTCCAGCTGGAATCAACAAAGGAAGCTGACCAATCCACCATTCATCAACCACTTTCCTCGCGTACTTTGATTTCATCTCCGAGCGCCAGACCGCACCCTGTGCCACGGGACCACGTCAGCAGCTGCAAAGCCCACTGCCACTCCACCGCTCGACCACACGCCTTGAAAACCACGAATCGATCCGTTCAAACTCGGTCGAAAGGTGAAAACGAATAAAACCAAGATCGAAACTCTGGGCCCATCACGATGACCGCTGCATCATAGTCAACGCTCCCTTGTGGAAAGCTCTGCACCCGTTGCAAGGCTGCAGCCAGGTCCTGCAGAACGCTTTGCAGAACGCTTCACCCACTGCTGTGCTGGAGAATCGACTCAAAGACGCCTACGAAGTACTACGAAATATGAAAGTTTCAACTGGACTCCCACCCAGTCCTTGCGAAGCAGACTTCCAGACGCAAGCCTCATTTCACCACATGGCCCTCAGCTGTCCAACAAGCAGCTGTGGAAGGTGCATATTGTGATGCATCTTTAAACCACAACTGACTGTGATTCCCCTCCTTCAGCTGCTCCTTCCTCCCATCTAAATTGAACCCCAACCCTTGAGCCAAATGGCAATGCCAGCTAGAAATCCAAGGGAAGCCAATGGTGCCCAAGAAAACCCAAGCAAAAGAGAGAAGGATGGCACCCCAAATGGCCGTGCTGTCCGGAAAGGTGGCGTTCGCCTCTCCTTCTTGGTGTAGCCTCCAAAGAACCACACATTTCCATTCCAGACCACCGCCTGGCGCCACAATCCGAATAACGACGACGCCGGAGGAGGCAACGCTGCAGAAGGGCGCTGGGAGGAGGCCACACGAAGGGCGCCTGCGCTCCACTGCGGGCCGGAGGGGCACGGCCGGAGGCGCGGATCTCTTGCCATAGGTTGGTTTCCACGTTGTACCTCGGTGAAGCCACCGCAGGGGGGAGCAACAAGGAGTGAAAAAGGAGTGAAACGAAGTGTTGGTGTGGTTGTTCTGCTATGCTTCTCATGAGGCAATGAGTGGTGCCACAAAGGATCCTCCAAATGAAAGCTCCAAAATTGCTAGGGGCCTGGGGCAAGATTCAAACCTGAGACAAATGGATTGTATATACATAAACGGAAGATGCAAAAGACTCAGTGTGTCCCCTCGCCACTTGAAGGGAGATGTCACCCGCACTGCCTGTGGTTAGCTCTTTTTCTCCTCTGGGCCAATGATGTGCTTTGTCATGAAAGGCCCTAAGGCGAATGAAAAGTCATGCACAAGGTCTTCTTTGATTAAAAAGTTGATCATTGCACATTGCAAAACTTGAGACTTACGTAGTTGGTGCGGGGTGCCAAAGGTATTTCAATAATATTATGATGAAACTGATGAAACTGATGACACTTACAAAAGATCACTCTTTGGATACCTCCTTTGGAGGTCTGTCAGCAGCTTGGCTTTGCTCCTGTTCTTTCTGGTGCTCTGTGGCCCGAGACACATCTTGCCAATGCCAGCAGAAAAGCAATCCAAGAATCCGAACATTCAATGATGTGAAGAAGAACGCTAAGGTGTGGTAGACCACAATGCTGGCAGAAGAAAGACTTTCTTCCAACAGTGGATGGCCAAAAGGTGTGTCAAGCATGGAGACGATCCAAAGGCATTCAGCAGGCCCCCGACCCACTAGGAAGGCAAGGTAAGTGCTAATCCAATGTGAACGCGCACGGCGAGGGTTCTGCAGCCACTTGGGTGGCACCTTCTGCGCATGCCCGAGCTCACGTCGAAGCATGAAGACGACTGGAAGCTCAAAAAGCAAGCCTTGAACCATGACTCCACCAAGCTCTCGGGTCCACAATGCATAAATATAAGCAAAAATGGTCACCAAGTGATGTGCAGTGTATGTGGCATACATCACCTGCGCCGAAGTGCAACACAAGTTCAAAGGAAAGAGAGCCAAACCACCACCTGACTCAACAGTCAAGCCCTGCCCCAAGAAATGCCTTGTGCACCAATCCTCCCAGAGTGCAGTTACCCAGTGACCTACAGCCATCCAGAAAAAGAACTGTTGCACTGGACCAAAGCTCATCAGCATCGCTTCAGTCGGTTGCGGCCGGAAGAAACAGCTCGAGAAAATCGACAGGCCGGCGGCTGAGGCAGCCAAGCAGTAGATAAACATACGATTCAGTTTTCGCACGTAGAATGTATGCATGCTCTTTGTGGGGCAGTCAGTCCTCTCACAATCAAGCTTCGGTGGCAGGACTCTGTGCATCAACATCCAAACTAGCGTCCAAGCACTGCAGCCTGCGAATGAAACCCATTCTGAAAATAGGATGCCAAACTCATCCGTCTCCTGAAGCATCACGAGTCCATCCGTTGCGGTTCCTTCCGCCAGTCCATGGCACGGCGAGTCTTGAAATTGCTGGTGACGCATATTAGAAAAGGGGCCACAGATCGTAACAAACTGAAAGCAGCTGACATCGGCTTATGTTTTCGTTTATAGCATATGGGTTCCAACGCGTCTACTCTGACAGAGACTCTCATGGTCTTTCTTTCTTTCTTTATTTATTTATTTATTTCCTTTCTTCCTGTCAGGCTTTGTTTTGGGCAGCGCACGCGTGGACGTCACTCTGTCGAGCAGCTCCATCAGTGCCTCCAAACAGGTAGAAGACACCGTCCTCGGTCAGGGATGCTGATGTCGAAATGGATGTCGATGTGCGCACGCGTGGGTTTTCCAAATGCCAGCAAAATCTGCGGTGTTACCTCCAACATGGCCTGAGGGAATCTTGATTTGATGCCCCACGCATCTGGCAGTGGCTGTGCAGTGCCCACCTCGTTTACAACTGCGTGTCCTGTTCGAGGGGTGTAAACCTCGCAAGAGAGCAGAGATGAAATCAGAACGCTCTGCTCGCATCTGCTCGAGCTTGGACACCCCAACCCTCCTGAGCCCCCACAAGAAGGAATGACACATGCGTGCTTGGTGCTTGGTCCCAGGCATCCCCGATGTTCTCCAAGTGAGCCCACTTGTAGGGCCTGACTGCAAACACAAGAACACATGTTCTGCATACCCGCATTGTCCATGTTTAGGCCACCACCCAGCTGCAGCCATGGAAACTTCAGACCTCAAAGTCGGATGCCAAAAGAAATGAAAAGTGCGTAAATGAAACCACTCATGTATAGCCATGTACTGCAGGCCTTTCATGCTTGGAAAACAGCTCGCATGGTAGCGGAGCCGGGAAGGCTTGCAGAATCTTGCAAGCTGGAGCTCCGAAATTGAACCCTGGTGTAAGCGCGCCCGTGCGGAGCCAACCATAGAACTAGTGTAGCATGTTGCTCGCAATTGGTGCCTGAGCCTACCTGAGCTGATCCTTGGGCGGCCTGGCGTTGTGGTGGAAGTGAGAAGACGGGCTACCTGATCCTGTCTGAAGAGGTTGAGACCCAGCTGAAGAGCGAGATGGACCAGTCTGACATGCCGGTGCTGGCCCAGGCGGTCATAGCAGCAGCAAATGCTGCAGCTCAAGCAGCTCAGGCGGCGGCTTCCAGTGGAGGAGGAGCTGGGGCCAGTGCTGAAGGAGCAGGGGGAAGTCAGGGGGTGCTGAAGCGTGATCTGGCAAAGTTGATCCCAAGACCTGGTACCTTCAATCCTACAGATAGGGAGCAAGAAGTTTTACAGTGGAGAGATTGGTACTGGACGGTCAAACAATACCTGGTTGTTGTCGACTCTGCATTCCAAGATGAACTAGAGAAGCTGGAATCCAATTTGACAACAGAAGTAGACTGGGAACTGTTGGACGAAGGTGAACAACAGAGAAGCAGATTTTTGTACAGCTTGTTGGGAAGCCTTGTACAGGGACGGTTGACAGGGGTCATCAAGAACGTGGAGAAGTTCAATGGCATGGAAGCTCTTCGACAGCTGTTGATGAACTGCCAACCTCAAGCCAGAAACCGGACGATGAACCTCCTGCGGGGTATAATGTCATACCCAAGCTTCAACATGAAGAGCTCCCTTCTGCCTCAAATCCTCAAGCTGGAAGAGCACTACATGCAGTATGAGCGCCTTGGAGGGAGGTTATCACCAGACATGAAGTCGGCGGTGCTCCTCAGGGCAGTTTCAGGTCAGATGAAAACCCATTTGAATCTGACTTTGAATGAGGGAAGCTCATACAGCAACATCCGAGAGGCCATCATTGCCTTTGACACAGCTACCACAAAGCGGAATGAGTCTGGAGCCCTGACTTTCTCCGGAATGAGCCCAATGACGAGTTCAGGGGATCCCAATGGTCCTATGCCCATGGAGATTGACCGCATCAAAGGAGACGGAAAGAAGGGCAAAGGGAAGACGAAAGATGTCAAGGGAAAGTCAAAGGGCAAAGATGACAGACCTAAAGGAAAAGGGAAAGGTGGCAAGCAAAGTGGAAAAGATGGCAAGGGCAAAGGAAGGAGGTGGCAAGGAGAACAAGGGTGGCAAAGGCAAGGGTTCCAATGAGGTGTGTTGGACCTGCGGCAAACCCGGACACATGTCAAGGGATTGCTGGAGAGTGAGACAGATCGAAGCACCAGCAACCCAGAGCATTGCAGGTTCTCAACACTACATCGCCTTCTACCACGCTGACCACGATCACAACGAGTGGAGGAGGTGGTGATTCCAATGCAGGCGCCAAGAACATCAGGCGTGTTTCACAGCCAGTGATCTTCGACTTGAGAGAGGGGAGTGATGCTGGTTCAATTCGAATGGTGAGTCAGGTTGAATTCTTCAACATTGCCTCAGATGATGAAGAAGAGTATGACAGCTACATGGTCAACACCATTGCTGAGACCGAGAATGAGGAAGAGGTCGATGAGGCCTCTGGAGTTGGAGAAGAGCTGCAAACACTCAAGGTGATTGTAGACTCAGGAGCGGATGCCTCGATCTTCCCTGGACGACTCATGGGGAACACAAGAGGTGATCAGGTGTTGGGAGCGGCACTTCACCTACAAGATGCTCAGGGCAAGAAGATCAAGAGTTATGGCCACAAGGACGTGGATATCATGATGATGACGTCTGAGGGCCAATCGGTGGTCTTGAAGGAGAAAGTGACATTCAGTGACATGGTGAACCAACCCATCCTGTCTTTTGGCCGACTGATGAGAAGTGGGTGGTCAATAGATGGACAACGGCAATGCCTACGGAATGGAAGCCTGGAGGTGCCTTTAGCGTTTCAGAATCAGCCTAGTGGTGGAAGCCTCAATCCGGGCTATCACAGAGCCACTGGTGGTCCGCACGCTGGCAGTCAGGCTGAGTGAAGAGTTGATGAACCTAGCTGGAAGTGGCTATGGTTGGAAGAAGAAGGATGAGTTTTGGGTTGGTTTGCACCTTGGCACCCGGTTTCAAAGCCCGCAGTTCATCCCTGGCTTTAGAGATCAGGGAGAAGGGATGTGCAGATCAACCTTGGTTGAGAAGCAAGGCAGTTGGGAATTGGTGGAGATGGCGGAACCTCTAGATGGTCTGGAGGAGCAAGAGGATGAGATTGAAGAACTCAGAGATGTCGGCCGCAGCAAGGTGATGACGTTTGTGGCCCAAGAAGGAACAGTTCCAGAGATGTTTGGCTTCGAGATCGATGATGCAGTTCGACTCGGTCCCAAGCCAGCAATGGAAGAGTTAGCCATTCCCCAGGCTCAAGATGAAGAGATGGAAGAGCTTGGAGGCATGGACATTCCAGGAGGTGAATGTCAGAGCCCAATCCAGGTCGTGACTTGGAAGAACAGATGGTTCGCTATGAAATTGGTGTTGCCCTTCCAGAAGAAATTCGTGTGAATGAAGTCCCATTGACAGTTGACAGCCCGTTGAGAAGTCTGAGAGCAGCATGCGCTGCTCTACCAGATCGGGCAAAGTGGAGGAAAGAGGAAGTGCTTTAGCCGATTGGTGGCCCATCAGGGAGCCTTGGAGTTGATGATGGCAAGAGATTTGGCTGCAAGAGGTCAAGCCATGAACCAAAGGATCCCAGTGGAGCAGGTGACAGCCAAGATCCCGTCTGAAGCAGAGAGGAAGGCGCACGAACTCACTCATGTGCCCTTATGCTCCATGGTGTCCCTCATGCATCAAGCACGGTGCCAGACCAGATCAACACAGGCGAACTGGCAAGTCCCATGATCAAGGGTGTCCTACAATCTCCTTTGACTTCTGCAAGGTGAAAGCCCGTGGTTCTGGAGCTTTTGGTGAAGAGGAGGAGGAGGATGCGGCTCGAGAAGGAGTTCAAGACGATGAGAGCGGCGCACTTCTGATGGTTGCAGTGTGCTCGGAAACGGGTTCATTGCTTGGGCTGCCCCTCAAGTCAAAGAACCAGATGAACCTGATCACTCATGAGCTCCTTGCTTTCACCCAGATCTTAGGACATGAGGCGGTTCAGTACTACTGCGACAACGAGCCAACAGCCAGGCAGATTGTACGTCTGTTGGTGTCTTCAAGAACAGCTATGGGGTTGAAGACCACTATGCGCACAACCAAGTTGTATGACTCAGCTGGAAACTCTTTGGCTGAGAATGCAGTCCAACGTGTCCGAGGTTTGGCAGCATCCATGATGGAGAGTTTGGCAGAGAAGATTGGACTTCGGTTCCAACACCAGCACCCACTATGGTCCTGGGCGTGCAGCCATGCTGCTTGGACTTTGAACAGATATCAGGTCTTGAGAGGCACCACAAGTTTCGAGTTGACCCATGGCAAGGCCTATGATGGGAAGATGTGTCCATTCGGAGAAGTGGTTTTTGCCTACTCCAAGCAGAAGCAGGGCTTCAAAGCAGATCCGAAGTGGAAGGTAGGCATCTGTTTGGGCAAAACAGAGGTGCAGGATGCTTGGGTCATCGGAGACGGAAACAGAGTCTTTCTCAGCAAGTCAATTCGAAGAGTGGCAGATGCAAGCACGAAGTACATCGCTTGCTACCAAGGCTTCACGGCATACTCATGTGAATACCAGCAGAATTTTGGTGGTCGAATTGTTCCATCAAAGAGAGTTGCAACAATGGTTAGAGGACCACTGCTGGGCCTGCCATCACCGGGGGCAGGAGGAGTGGCATCACATGATGAGGATGCAAAGGAAGTCATTGCCTTCTCAAAGTCCTATGCTGGCAAACTTGAGGAAGCAAAGGACTTGGTGGAAGTGGAAGAGAAGAAGCCAGAAGGAGCCAAGGGAGTGAGCGAAGAGCAGAAGATCGCGGAAGAGAAGAAGTTGGACTATGTCGAGGAGAGGGTCATCATACCACTGATGAAGGCCAGAGATCCGAACATGGTAGATGAAATGCACAACCAAGCGGGTCCTTCGGCACCTGCTACTACTCCTTGAAGTCCAGCACAGAAGAGTAGCTTCAACATGGAAGGTGGAGAAGGAGATCCTAAGAGGTTCAAGCTCACCCCATCCAAACCAGTACATGGGAGTGAGGGTGAGAGTTCAGAGACAAAGCGCTTCAAAGCTGGAGATGAGAAGGCCCATGTTGAGAGGAGAGTGCAAGCCACAGAAGTGGGAAATGCCAGTTCTTCGGTGAGGAGGAGTTCCTTGCATGGGATGAAGAAGTTGAAGACCCGCAGATGACTACCATTCCGGAGGCACTCTGGTCGTTAGCACCGTTGGATAGAGTCCCAGCAGATCCACCCACTTGGATTGACGATCTAGCAGATGAGGTGGAGGAACAAAGGCTTTTGAAGATGGGAGTCTTAGAGGCTATGGAAGGTGAGAAAGCTGGCTTCAAGAAGTTGACAACCAGATTTGTCAGAGATTGGAGGGTCAAGCCCCGCCAAGACCTTCCGGGGGCTCCCAAGCAATTCCTCAGAAGATCCAGGTTGGTCGCTAGAGAGTATGCAGTGGACAGGAGAGATGATGTGCACAGTCCAGCAACCGGAGGTCAGACTTTGCGCTTGCTCCCCATCATCTACCTCATGAAGAAGCTCGAGGAGCGAGATGGAGGGGACAAATACTGGCTTGGATCTATGGATGTGAAAGATGCTTTCCTCCAAGTACCTCAGGAGGAGCCAACACAAGTAAAGACGGCCAGGAGTCACTATGAGGTGAAGCGCAACCTTCCAGGTCTGCGACTGGGAGCAAAGGCATGGTTCGACTACTTCACAGATTGGCTGAAGAG